TCTCACTGTGAGACACTCATCTATTTCAGAAAATTAGTCCAGGCTGATCACTCCTGTCTAGAAAGACACACAACATAAAATCTTGCCAAGAACTTAGTTTTCACTTTTTACTCACAACTCTGTTGACAGTGATTAGGGAAGAGATTTTCAGTAAACTTTTCCTGTTAAATCTGCCTCTAAACACATCCCTTGGAGTAATGGCCATTACTTCAAAAAAAAAAAATACATTGACCCACAAGGTTATAGGTGGACACCTCACTTTGGACATAAAGATAGTAGCTTGTCACCTCAAGCCTTCCTGTATGTATCCTCTCTTCAGAAAACATTCTAGACACATCACACTATTTAATGCAAATGATAGCACAACATTGTTCCAACTGACAAAGTGGAGTGTATTCATGTTAATTTCTTCTAGTTCTCAATATTTACCAAGCATTTGCATCTCTTCAATTACATATAAAAGTATTAGTTTGGATAACCTAATTAGCATCACAATTTAGTTGATTGTTTCCTAACAATCCTTTTGACATTAAAGATACTATTTGAATAACTGCTGCAATGTCAACTATGATAATATATTGTCTTTTGAATACTATTTCTCATGCATTGTTGAAATTAATGACATTTCTAATTGCATCTTCCCCTAATCCTTCAGACATAAATTTTTATCTTAACTAAAAGACCCTAAGTCTAAATTTATTTTCCTTTGTCTTTCCATGATTTCCATCTCATCAATTCACATGTTCAAGTTCCTATATAAAAATAATAACCATCCCAGCAAACTTCCTTTGAGTCTGCATGTCCTCTCTAACTACCTCATTTTCTTTTTTTCTTCACTTCATAATCTTTTGAAAAATGATGGTAATGCTTTCAGCACAACCTAAACTTCACTGATCCTTGAGCCACCAGAAACATTCATGTTATCTAATGAATGTATTCGTGCCACACATAAGTGAAGTTTTCTTTGTTGATGAGTAACCTGAGGACCAAATCTATCCCAATGTGGCAAGTAAATTTCAGCATAAAGAATCCTGGCTTCCTCACTGACTGTGATTAATATTTACAAACCTAGCATCCTATAGTCAAGAAGGCTTAAAGGAAAAGATTTGACCATACTGAGTGTTATCTATTGAATAATATATTAAATCAAGAGTAGAAACCAAGAATCAAAAAGTTAAGTAATATGCCCCAAAGTGGCCATAGATTAAGTCTGGAAATTTGAACTAAAACCACTGTCTGATGCTGAAGTTCTGATTTTTCCACATTACCATGCAGTGAGTCAAGACTTTCATCTTTATATGGAAAAAACAGTTTCGGTATATTACAATTTTCCAGGAAAGAGTAGTAACCCACTCATTAAAGTCTAATCAATCATGCTTATGACTAATATTCTACCATATGGATAAGGTTATATTCACAAGAAGGTCCTAGTATTTAACTATTTCTTTGGATCTTAGAACTAAGTATTAGTTCAGGAATTGATAGGTAAGTGCTATATTTCTCTAAGGACTATCTGTACTTAAATTGTAGTCTAACCTAATCTAACTAAAAGCTTTACACAAATACACATGAGATATACATATTTTAAGAAGAATTTTGCATTGTTCAAATAGCATACCTCTTATATGCAAGGTGATCTCAATCCATTAATAGTGCAATGACTTAAAATATACACAGAGCCAGGGTTGTGAAGGAAAACCATAACCCTTCAGTTAAAAGATAACTGATGCATAGTGAAGATTTTATTTAACCTTTACTACCATGAGTTATTATCAGACACAATGATACAAACCTGAAAGCTCAGTTTATAAAGATAATAAACAAAGAGACCGTTTTCAATAGTTTAACAGGTGCTTATTAATTCAGTGATAATTATAGAATTGAATAAATGAATTCTTGAAACATTCATCCAGGATAAGACAAAAGTAGAAAAACATTAAGTGAAGTATATCACTTATTCAATTTTTGATAATAATGACTTTCTCCTTGTCTTTTCTAAAAATATAATTCCATATTACTAGTCATCTTATCATGTGATGCTTAAAAATAACTTTGAATAAACAATATTGAAATTCAGCACAGGCAAGTAGTATTCACCTTCACACACATATACACATACAAATGCATTTTCCTTTTAAAGTTTGGTGATGATATATCACCCTTTTAGCATAGTAACTCAGAAAAAAAAAAGTATAATTTCCTTAAATCCCAAAATTAAAATGCTTCAAAAAGCTATAAGAATGAAAATTGTTTAGATATCCTGTAGTAGTAGTAAAAGGAAAGATCCCAGTAAAAATCATAAATTTTCATTCCTCATTTAATGATTAAGTTCAAATTAAACTCAACATTTGTCACAACAAAAGGGTGAAATGATTTTGCCTATATTAAATGTAATTAGCACTAATTGGTACCACATTATAAGCAAAATATTAACCATCAATGTATATTGTGCTGACAAGATAGCACAGGATACAACTACTTCCTTTTTTTTATTCCCCATACAATTGTGACCCCCTTATTTTGACCCCAATCCCTCCCCTCCCCCCCCCAGGATACAACTACTTTCAAAGAAGCCATAATTTGTTAAAAGATTAAGGAATAGTACATACCTTAAAGAAGATATCCATGAATACACTTTTCCTTTGAAAGTATGAAAACATTTACAACATAGTCTACTAGTGGGTCATTTTATTACTAAAGTACTTAGATTTGATATTGTTACATCAAAACCTGGTTCACTTCTAAAGAGAATGTCTCTGTGAGTAATGGAATGGCATCTAAATGGCATATGTGTGAAAGCACAGCAACATTTCACATCTCATGTAAGAACAATTTAAACAGACTATTTGCACTTCTTTTTCATCATCAGGAGTGACTTGGTGTCCACGATAGTGCATTTTAAGGGAGAAGAGTGACAGATACATTCTTATCAACCACAAAATGATAAAAGATTGATTGATTTCAACCAATATCCAGATGGTAGCAATAAATGTTCTGCCAAAATACCAGATGCAAAAGATGCTCAATCTACAGGGAACAGTTTTGTGCTCCATTCTTAAAGGATGCAGTCACACATGAAGCATCAGCAGGGATTTTCCCCATAAACTAAGCATGTTTTTTGCTGTGATAGAACATAATATGTCTCATGCCACACATAGAACAACTGACTTCCTCCCCCACCCCATCCCATAGTATTTCAGCTCTTTTTGCAAGAATTATCTAAAATAATCAAACCACTAAGCAGAGCAGTGGATGGAATGAGGTCTAGTAAGAAAAACACTCTTGGGTTGAAAACTTCCCCCTACTGCTTGAAAATGGTATATAGCAGTATAAGTTAAGAATCCAGAAACTGAAGATTTGCAGAAAAGAAAATGGGGAAACACACACACACACAGGGTAAACTTGGAATTAATCCTCATAGTAAGAAATGTTGTACATTTGGATTTTCAAGTTCATATGAAATTTCTTTTTAGTCCAGTAGCTTCTATAGCAAGCACAGGAAAGGTCTCTAGATCCTGTTACCTAACACATTTGATGAGCTGGTTGGTTCATTAGTTAAGTGGAAGCTCCTACTTTGTGTGTGGCTATGATATTGAGCATTCCAAAATAATTCATCAATCAACTGCTTGGAAAGAGTGACCATGTGCCATCCAATTCTAAAGACATTTTCTGCTGATTATTTACAATGGTAATATATATCATGGCAATATGCATAATAAAAATCTAGTTATGTTTCTTTTTAGACATAAAAATGAAGTCATGAAAATTATTCTCAAATTGCTTAGAATCATTTAATCAATGATGCTAAGGAATGGTGAGTTTCAATATTTCTGGAGAGTGTACCTCTCCATATACTTTTCTAAATCTTATAGCTGACCAGGTGTGCTGAAAAGATCAAGCAAACTAACACCTGCTTGGCATGGACGGGTGTTCACATATTGGTCATGTATAGTGTAATCTCAAACTGTAAACACATTTTCAGAACCTACTCTATTTAATTTCTTTCCCCTCACCATGTAAGGTGATTTTCTAGCTGAGCAGTTTGTGAATGAGCTTCAAAATACCTGATGAAAAACTGAGAATCATAAAATGGTCACAAAATCGGCCAAAAGTATGTCAGTTTTCTCTCTAGAGTACAGAGAAATATGTCTAGGAGACATCAAGTACGCTGAACTAAACAGCTTCTGGAGCTACTGTGATTCTGATGCAGGAAGAAACAAATAATGATGAACATATTTATAAAATGCTGAAGGTGTCTTTGAAAGATGATCTGCTATCATGTCCTATATTATGCACATTTCTCACGTTTTACCTGTATCACCAAGTGATTAATACCCTTAAGATAATTTTTAAATGCATCTTACATAACTCATAGCAGATTTGATGATCCGTATCTTCCACTTGTCCCAAATTAGTTATCTGGTAGGAAACTCAGAGGTTGCATACTGAGACACCAGCTATTCAAACATTAAAATTCTTTCACAGTTGTCATTTTTTAATGCAGAATAAAGTTTGAAAATGCCCATGTCTTAAAAATCCGTGGAGAAGGATGAAGAGGTCTTTTGCATTTTAAGAAAATCAGTAAAGACTGATGCTTACCAAAGCTGTTGGCAAATAAAGCATTAATTGTTTTGTGCAAAAAAAAAAAAAAATCAAAAAAAGTCATTTGTAAAATAACCAGTTAAACCCCGAGGATATCTAACTATTTTCATTTAAAAATTTAGACAAGCTAAGTAAGACACATTCGCGGTTACAACATTTCTCTCCCTTCCGTTTTCATTTAACCTCTTGCTCTGAAGACTAGACTTGTTTGCAACTTACCGAAGTTTCCCAAAGCAAAACCACGCAGCAGCTCCTAATTCAGGTGCCAGATCTGTGTGCAGCCTCCTTCGCCTTCTGAATACGCTAGGCAACACTTTATTAATGATGCATGGATTTCTGCGCGTGTAGCCTGAAGCGATCACCCACGATGCAACCCCATCAAAAAAAGGAAGCCTTACCTGATGGCAGAAAAAGGCAGCCAGCCGCAGGAGCAGCAGCAGCAGCAACGGCAGCAGCGATGCAACCACCCAGCTTTGCAGCGAAGGTGAGAACCTCTCCTTCCTTAGCTCTCTGCCCTGCCTTTTTCTTTCTAAATCACTGTAGCAACAAACTGCCTTGCCTCCTGCACCCCCCTTTCATGCACAGAAGGTTCTCCACGCCGGGCAGCCCGTCCCCAGCACTTTCTTCCTGGAAGAGGCTGCCTCTCTTCTCAGAAACGCTTGGACCCCAGTCCGTGGCTCCCTCCACGTTTACCCTTCAGATCAATAACGCTCACGGAGCGGCTGGAGCTCAGCTGCAGCGGGGAGCCGGGAGCCAATGGGGGCCAGGATTCCCTCGCAGTCATCTCCCCGCCCTCAAAACAAAACGCAGCGTGCCTTTGACACATCATGGAGTTGTGAAAACTAATTGAATCCCATATTTGAAATTTGTCTTGTTTGTTCTTTTTCCCCCCTAGCGTTCATTGCACGATGCTTTGAACGCATCCAAGGGCTGCACAGCCCTCTGAGCTCTCGTTAAACGCACTTAGCAGAGGGTGAAGACTGGGCGCTGAGAAAGTGATAGCACCTGGGTGAACACCTGCAGCTTCGGTGGGGAAATGCTTGAGGACAGGTGGAAATCAGCGATCTAGCAGCTGAGAGGCACGAGGCTTGAGTTCTAGTCTTCCCTCTGTTAAGTGGCTTGATTCTTTTATTTTGTGGAAGAAAATAAAGTCTGTTTTACCTGAAAGTCGTCACTTTCTTTAAATATTGGCTTAATTGATTAGCTGATTAGCTGCTAATTGAGGATAGTAATCTTGTTCAAGCAACCTCTAGCTTCCAGTCCTTTCTGTGCTGATTGAACTTGGTCCAGACACTGTGAGGAAGTAAAAAAGTGGTCAGACTATTTGCCTGGTGAAACTGTGGTGTTTATATAAGTTTTTTTTTTTAATTATAATTTATTTTAATGAGGAAAAGTATTAGTGATTGCTTGTAACTTCATAGAATATTATAATGATAAAAACATCTTACAGTGAAATGTAATGCTACTGAAAACAGTAACTATTTCTTCCCAAATCACGACACATGCTTTATGAATGAGGATCTTTCTTTGCATTTCTGTTGGTTTGCAACCTTGAGAGTTTACAGGGGAAATAGGAATCTGCCCAGGAACCCATTAACATCCAGTGCAAGCAGATACCAAAGATAGAGCTAGACCAGGCCAAATTGGGAGGTGGCAGCTTTAAGGAAATTTACATAAGCATTTTCCTAGGTAGCTGCAAGATGAGTACTTCTTCTTAACACCTTTCAGAATCTTAAGATAATATTAAATGTCCTAAGGTCAAAGGGAGGGTTCATCCATGAATACAATACAGTTTGTTTCAATGATACCTTGTTCTCTGAAAATTCAGTCTTTGGAAACAGAGTTTAGAATATGGGTGCAGAGACAGGAGAGGATTAAGTTGCTCAGGTCAATTCTCTAGGGTCAGCCTGTGGTCACATCCTCCACTTAAACTCTTGCAACAATTTCACTATTGAAGTGTTAAGTATTGAATAAAAAATATGTGCTTAAATAAGTTCATCTGGAGCTATTTACTTTCCCTTCAAGAATCTAAGTCACTTTATCATTTTATGTCAAGAATGCAGCGATATTTGGGATAATAATTTAATCTATGTCAAAATTCTCAAGTACAAAATCTCTGTGCAGTTAAAAATATGTATAAATTTGAGTAGGATTGGTAGCTCACACTGCACAAATAAGAATGTCTTTTCAATGTCACTGTTGAATAAGAATAAAATTAATGTGTCTTTCTGAAATCTTTTTGTTCCACTGAAGTAATACAAGTGGGTTGATGCATGTGGTGTAGCCAAGCTTTGTGTGTCTTGACAAGCTGAAATAGCTTGGGGAGACTTTACAAACCAAACAATTTTGTTGCCTGTCCATCATGTGAAGGAAGCATGGAAAAGTATAATATTTACAGGACTACATGCTGTGGCACTATAAAAAGGTTAATGCTAACTTTATTCTAACTCATTCATGTAGCCAATAAAATTTTATTCAGGACTTTCTTTTGCTAAATATAGTCATCTGTCTTCTTTGAAGAAACAAAAAATATGTGCTCATAAGAAGAAAAACATTAACATGGCTTAATTCTTATTTTTACAATAAAAGTTATTTTTTTGATTTTTTTATCACAAATAACAAGTCAATAGATACAAAACATCTATTTTGTTTTATAAGTCAATGGTTTTCAATCCACGATCCTTAGACCAGTAGCAAAGGCAGCACCTGGGAAATTAGAGAAAAGGCAGCATCTCAGGCCCTATCCCGTTTCTGTTGAACCAGAGCTTCTGAAGTGGTATCTAGAAATATATTTTAATATTCCTTCAAGTAATACAAATTAACACGCAGGTTTGAAAGTCAGTTCTGTAAGGCAGAGTTTAACAGTTGCCCCAAACACCTATGGCCCCAACCCTAAAATATTAATTCTCTGCCCCTTTTGGAAAAACCTGTTAACCTCTGCCTAGTCTACTATAATGTGTGTTACGTGATTAGTACAGATGGCAAGAGTTGAAAAAGAACTAACATTTGAAACTGGGGTGGACAAGAAAAGATGAATAAAATCAGTGTGTTTTGGAATAAATTAAAAATGATAATGCAGTCAATTAAATTGGTGTTTGTTTTTTTTTTTAATATTTTTGCTGTTCCACACTTACAGAGGGATATACTTTCTCTAATCTTAATTTATGGCTTGTTTTGAAACATGAATGGATGATAACGTTGCCAATTCCAAACAGAATATTGAATTATAAATGAAATATTGTTTCTACTTCATACAAAGGCTTTTCTATCAGTCTGGGTTATCCAATGAAGAGAATATTGGAGTCACAATAGGTGTGATGAGCATATTGGGATGAACATATTGGGAGAGAGAGTAAAAGACCTTTTACTGTGATTCGCTTTGTATTTTACTGCTCAAGAACTTAGTGTATTCTGACTAAAGCAAGTAAGTGTAAGTGGAATGTAAAGTAATTAGAAGTGAGAAAATAATGCAAAAACAAAGGTGATAACAGGAACAAGGCAGCTATCTGAAAATGCAAAGACTATTTTGGGGAAAGAGTAATAAAACTACTAGAGTTTCTTTAAAGAATGTTTTGAAAATATAGAAAATAAATATTAAAAAACATTATAACAGGCAAATAAGGCTAAAGAGATAGAACTTAATTATATAGCAATGGGGAACCACGGAAGACTGTTAAAAAAGGAATGACATCATCAGAATTGTGCTACAGGAAGATTATTCTGTTGGCAAGGGAAAAATAGACTGTAAACAAAGGAATTCATCACAATGCTGGGCAAATTTACAGCATGATGGAATATGGGCCAGAATTCAGGCATTGTCACCCTTGTACCCACATTCAATGAGACAACAAGGTCCATTAACTTGACTTTTTTTTTTTAATTTGGGAAATGAAGGAGGTGAGACTTTAGCAGGCCATTAAAATAACTGGAAAGTGGCAGTTCCTAGTACATAAAGAAACACAATACACAATAATATTTTTCAGTGCATACTGAACAGGAAGCCCTGAACAAGGACCCCAAGCTAAGACCTTACTGACTGACTATGTGCCCTTGAGCAAAACTTGAGCCTCTATCTAAAAAACTCATGCCTTTGTGTGTGTGGCTATGTTGATTTTTAAAACAAATATTTAATTTCTAATAATATTGCTGATAGTTGCTATATTTTCCACAATCATCCCAAGACAATTTGGCTTCTTATACCATACACATCATTGTTTTAGTATTTATTTTATCCACAGTTTTCACTGTTTTGATTCAGACTTTCACCCTTTTTCTCTGGACATTTGTCATTATCGCTTGATAAGCATCTCTATCCCCTTGACATAGCTATCAGTATTCAACTAGTTTTGCATTACAGCTTCTTTATTCCAGGATATATGCAGGTTGAAGTCAAATTTATAGACACATCAAGGAAGAAAAATAAATGTAAAAAACAAGAAAATATCACTAAAACAACAACTCTTGCTTAGAGTAATAACCAGTCCTTCTGTTTATATTATCCTATCAAAAACATTCACTACCTATTGCTGAATGTGATGTCAATATGAGCAAGAATGTATAACCTTCCTAGAGGAAGAGATTCCTGGAAGATCCAGAAATAATTCTGAACAATAATGTAATCACCAAATTCTCTTCTTACCCTAAAACAACCAACCACGGATGATGACATTACAGGGCAGGGAGAGGGGCACCCCAGACCCCGCAAAGCTGCCTGCCCTAAATAGGTTCTGCCATCCGCCGCATGAATATGAAACATATGAGACTTTAAGGAAAAGGAACTTTAATACAATTAGTAAACAATACAGGAAATGCAAAGAATATAGTTTCTAAATCAAGCGCCCAAAGTTACCTGCCCCCTCATGGGTAAAAGTCCACCCAAGCGGGATTGACCCAGAGCAAGGCCCCAAAGCCTGCCACAAGTCTAAAGCATCTTCCAGTCGGGACCCACAGAAAAGGATCAGAAACTACCAGACAATTTTGGAGGGAAAATAGCAAAATCAAAATCAAGACAAAAACCGCCAATGTCACCTCCCCACGGGTCTCTCACCCACCTCCCCACAAGTGTCTCTCTGCTCCATGTGCCTCCTCCAAGTCTCCTCTGGCTCCATCCTGCTCCTTCCTTCCTCTGTCCCTTCTGCAGCTTCTTCTCCTCTCCCCGCTCAACTCTACCCTCCCTTGGGTGGGGCAGGAAACCTGGAAACTCCCCCCTTCCTGGGGACCACCCTGTCACAATGAGACGCCTTCCAGACATTTAAATTTCTAGAGGATATATTTTTCATCATTTTTTGCCATTTTGTATATAGTACTTTATATATTGCAATGATTTAAAAAATAAAAATACATAGGAAATTGTGTAAGAAAAATTGAGAGGATTTATTAAATGACGGATGTAGGCACTAGAGAGAAGAAAGACTAAGCGTGTTTGGTGTTATAACTTTTGGATACTTACTTGTATTCTCTTTAAAACAAAGAATGCAGCAAAGGCTCATGTGCACATGAGTACCAGGGCAATGTTCCAGGTGACCTCCAGAGTCAGCATAAAGGGGCTGATGAAGTGGTCACTGGGAGTAGCATGTTTTGATTCCACTGGGATTTCTAGAGAATTATAGAGTTATCAGCCAGAATCTGTCAATCAAAAGCAAGAAATTCCCTTTTGTTATTGATCTAGAACTTCCCCTATTTTGAAATATATCCACATGTAGACACAGTGATTCCCATCTCTCTTTCCAGTGCAAAAAGAGCTTGAGAACAGAAAGCAACTAAAAGTCATGTCAAATCAAGTGATCTCACATGAGCAAGAAGTGGATCAAAAATACATGAATCTGTCCCCCTCAGCGACAACTGAAATTATAGGGTCCAAGAAAATGTAAGCTGCCACCTGATCTTATGTCAATACCAGGGAGCAGAAAGGAAAGACACATTTCCAGAACTGTGATGAATATTTGCAATTTCATATTAAGGCAGAATAGCTAGATTGTCTAGGCTGAACTGATGATTCAAAATAACTGGACACCAGAGCATGTACAGGGAATAAGAGATTTCACTAATTATCTGATAATAATAATATATAATAATAGTTGGTTCTAAAATATGTAAAATTGCTGCAATTTTTTTTAAATATTTATTTATTTATGCATATAGGAACAGGGGTACAGGCCAGAGGTGTGGG